TTTTTTTTTTTTTTTTTTTTTTTTTTGGTTTTTCGAGACAGGATTTCTCTGTGTAGCCCTGGCTGTCCTGGAACTCACTCTGTAGACCAGGCTAGCCTCGAACTCTCTAACCCAGAAATCTGCCTGCCTCTGCCTCCCAAGTGCTGGGATTAAAGGCGTGCACCACCACTACCCGGCTACTTTTTTTTTTTTTTTAATTTGAGGCTGCCAGGCAACATTAAAAGATAAGAATTTTATTTTATTTTATTTTATTTTATTTTATTTTATTTTATTTTATTTTATTTTATTTCTATTTGTGTTTTGTGTGTGTGTCAGGTGGTTGAGTCTGGAAACCTTATGATAGCTTGTGAGAATTGGTTCCCTGCTCCCACCATGTGGGTCCCTAGGGCTCAAAATCATGTCATTGTCTTTGGTGGCAAGTACACTAACCTGTTGAGCCATCTTGCTGGCCCCGAGGTTTAAATTTTTATCCCATAGACCTAGGTGTCTATGGGATCACCTAGATTGACTTTGATTTTACTATGTAGCTAAGAAAGGTCTTCCAACTCCTGATCCTCTTGCCTCTACTTCCAAAATTCTAGGATTACAGGTGTGTGGCATCATATCTAGCCTGAGACAGAGATTTGATATATAACTCATGATACATATATCATGACTAGAACTCATGATCTGCCCCCCTCCCATTTTAAATGTTTGGACTATAGACATATACCATAATGACCAGCCTGCACAGTGAGTTTGTCTTTCTCCTTTCTCTGTGGTGTGTGTGTGTGTGTGTGTGTGTGTGTGTGTGTGTTTGTCTGTTTGCCTGCCTGCCTAAGAAATGAACCCAGGGTCTCAAACCGTGGGTAAATGCTCCACCAAATAAACCTTCAAACACTGACTTTGGCCGTGTGTTCTGCTGCCTTAAGCCCTCAGTGTCGAGTTCTTTGAGAGCTCATAGGATGCTAGTGGGTTAGAGTGGTTCACTGTGTGTCTTCTTTTCTTCTGTGTCTGAGTGCCAAGGAGCCATGCAAAGGAGATGGAGGCTGCTGCTTTCCAGTCTCCATCCCTTGACAGGCCAGGAAAGCTCCATGGCAGAGGAAGATCATTGAAGATGATCCAGGCTGGCTTCAAACTGGTCGTAGTAGAGGATGACTTTGAACTTGTGATCCTCCTACCTTCACCTCCCATGTTCTGTGATTAAAGCACATATAGCAAATGTTGTTAGAGCCACACTGGTTTCGGACAGTGAGGGAGGGGCTGAGGAGATGTAAGACACAGTCCCTTTCTCTTGGCTGCGTTTCCAGCCAGGTGGCAGGTATGATGTTTAGTGCCAGTATGGGCACCCTGTTAGGTATACCTGTGAGTAGCAATGTCTGAATATCTTGTAGCCAAGAGACTTGGGCTGCTCTGAACGTATTCCCTACCCTTGTCTTGGAGTAAGAACCATCATGAGGGAACCATTTCCTTCTGAGGCAGGAGAAGGCTCCTCTGGGCTGCAGAATGTTACTTGTAACAGTTTTGCTGGGGATGGCAGCTCACATCTTTAATCCCAGCACCTGGAGACAGAGTCAGATGGATCTCTGTGAATTCAAAGCCAGCCTGGTCTACATAGGTGTTATAGGCCAGCCAACGCTACCCAGTGTGATCCTGTCTTTGAATTTAAAAAAAAAAAGAAAGAAAGAAAACAAAATCAAAATGAGAGACATGAACGACCTGGTGAGGCCAGCAAGTCAGTAATGGCAAATCTGCATTCTTGACGGTATTATAATGTTATTGGGCCTTTGGCGGTCCACCAGCTATAAAATGGGTACAGAACAGGGAAGCATGGGAATCGGGTGAACTGCAGACAGCGCTGGAGGGACCGGAAATTTGGCAATGGCTGCCTAGCTTTGGTGCTTCAGGACCAGGTAATATTGGGGGCTGGCTTGTGTATCCATCTCCATAGGAGAAAAGCAATTCAGAGTCTCAGGTGACATCTCCCATTTTGTAACATGAGGTAGATCAAGCTTAACGTGCCCTTGGGTCAGATGCAGCCTGTAGTTTGCTAGTCAGCAGCGACAGAGGCCAGGAGGTGGGGGTGGGGCGCTCATGGAATCTGTGATGTCATCTCTACAGCAACTGGAAAAATGGAGGCAGATGTGCCAAGGGGCTTGTAGTCTGCATTCTGAGCCCTGGGGCTGTAGATGAGACTCCTTGTGACTCTGTTGTTCCTGGCCCCCTCGGGTCCCAGAAATCACCCAGTCCGAGGGTTTTGTGGGTCACGGTGTTCCTTCCATATCAGCATCCATCCCTGGTTGCTTGGCCTGAATATAAGTTGCTGATTGCCTTCATATTACTGATGGCAGATGCTGGCCCCTCCTGCCCAGTTATAACCCTGGACACCAGTTCCAGGCTTCCCAGAATATTGTCATGAATTGAGCCATCCTCAGGAGAATGGGGAGAGATGGGGTTTTGAATGCCATGGTTTCCCTTCCCATTTTTTCCGAAGGGCATCATTGAAATAGGGAAGCGAAATGTAAGCAGGGCCGGAGAGGAACTCAGCAGCCATTTTAATCCAAGGCAGTCTGCCTGATCCACCTGCGCTACCCTAGGAGGGGAAGGGAAGTCGGTAGAAGCTTCTAGCATCCCTTGAACAGCTGGCATACAGATTCCCTACCTACCTACAGTGGCATCTGACTTCTGTTCACATGCCAAGGTGATCAGTGTAAGTCTAGAGAGCCTCCATGGCTGCCTGCAGGAGAGTCGGAGTTAATCAGAATGTATTAATGTGGGCGCCATCCTTTTCCAAACCAATGTCAACGGTGACTGCTTGTAGCACTTGAGTTCCTGCTCACCAGGTTCCCCACAAGGAAGGTAAATAGTCTTCAGGTGGGCACACATAGCCAGAAAAGGGATGTTTTCCTGGGGAGAGTCTAGAACCAAGTTCCCTAAGCTCAGGCTTGGGTAAAGGGAAGGGTGGTGTCTTAGGATTTTACTGCTGTGAACAGACACCATGACCAAGGCAACTCTTGTTTTGTTTTTCGAGACAGGGTTTCTCTGTATAGCCCTGGCTGTCCTGGAACTCACTCTGTAGACCAGGCTGTCCTTGAACTCAGAAATCCACCTGCCTTTGCCTCCCAAGTGCTGGGATTAAAGGCGTGCACCACCACTGCCCCCAAGGCAACTCTTAGGAAGGACATTTAATTGGGGCTGTCTCACAGGTTCAGAGGTTCCGTCCATTATCATCAAGGCAGGAACATGGCAGCATCCAGGCAGGCGTGGTATGGGAGGAGCTGAGAGTTCTACATCTTCATCTGCTAGTGGAAGTCTGACTTCCAGGCAGCTAGGATGAGGGTCTTAAAGCCCATGCCCACAGTCACACACCTATTCCAACAAAGCCACACCTCCTAATAGTGCCACTCCCTGGGACAAGCATATTCAAACCATGACGGTTTGCCATGTGAAGAGTTTTGAGGAATAGGATCTCGAGGGTCTGACACCCTCAGCCCAGTCTGAGGAAGTGTTGTTTCAGTCTCGAACACTATGGCGCTGTCAACAGTAGCAGACCCATGTGGTGGCTCCGTTCCCTGCAGCAGGTGTAGATCGTGAGCCTGAGAACGGATGCCTCAACTCGACTGGGAGAGAGAGAGCTGGAACTGTTTGGGCTTAGGCATGGAGTTAGGTTGGGTTCCAGAATGTTCCTTTGAGTGAAAGGATCTCCTGTCTGTTCCTGTTTGCTCTCTCTCCCCTGTGCTGACCCTCTTCCAGCTTCCACTCTTGACTTTTCCCACTGCTGTCCTCAGCATTGTTGCCATTGTCCCTACGTCTCAATGTATTTCTCCTTGCTTCCTGGTATGTTGTCATGTCTCTGTGCGTGTGTGTGTTTTCAGCATGAGTACTCTGTATAGCCACTACCATCCTGGAATTCGCTATGTAGACCAGACTGGCTTTGAACTCAGAGATCTGCCTACCTCTGCTGCGACTAAAGGTGTCCACCACCACCGCCAGTAACAAGGACTCTTAGCCTTTGAGCATCTGCTGACTGGAGATGCTATAAAGCTGTATGCCCTCTAGCTCCATTTTCTGCACCGGCAATTGTATCCAGTCTCAATGGAGGTTTGATATTGTCAACTAAAGCCTCCACAAACCAGGTAGAGGATAACTTTGGGGTTCAAAAAATACTTGCAGATGATTTCACTTTAACACACCTCCGTTTCTCCACCTGTCGATTGTAGTTGGAAAGAGATGGCTACTTTAAGAATTAATAAACCAAGGCCTGGAAAGCCCTTAGAGCGTACCTTGGGGAGATCACAAGTGTGGCCCACACGGTTCGGAAGTTGCATTGTGCAGAAGAGATGGCTGCCCACAGCACTTAGTACATGAGGAAAATGGGTGGAGGAAGCTGAGATGAGGTACCAGCATCCTGTGACTAAGGAGATGACTTGGCAATGGGCCTGGGAGGATTTCATGCAAACAAGATATACCTAGGTTTGCTGGATAGTGTCGGTGGTGGCACACGCCTTTAATCCCAGCATTTGGGAGGCAGAGGCAGGCTGAGTTTGAGGCCAGCTTGGTCTACAGAGTGAGTTCCAGGACAACCTGGGCTATACAGAGAAACCTTGTCTCGAACAATAAAAAAAAAAAAATAAAAATAAAAAGATGTGCCTAGGTTTGATGGTTGTTCCTCTGAGCTGTCGCATATGAGCCCTCCAGGGACCAGTGTTCCAAGGAATGACTAAGAAAAGGCTGAGGAGAGATGTACAGCCCAGGAGGGACCTCCTGCCTTCTAGCTCGGCTTGATGCTGAGACCGGGGCCCTCTGTCCCTGGCTACAGCCAAGTCTCAGTAGGACGGTTTGATCACCAAGGTCTTCAAGACAGGCTTTTGCCTGCAGCATCCCAGCACCTGCCTTGAGTTAGCTGGGGGTCTCTAGGGGTTGCTGGCTACATCCCTCAGGCTGTCTGGGAGGGAGCCTTGGTGTCTGCGTCACATGTCCTTGCACATCCGTGTCCCCTGTGCCCTCCTGTGTTCTAGCTTTCCCTCCCTCCAGTCTTGTGAGAGGAGTTAGGGCTCACGCTCCCTCTGCCCTCTCCTCTCAGGTTGGATCCATGCAGTGTACACACCCGTGGACTCTCTGGTGTTCGGCGGGAACATCCTGCACAGCTTCAACGTGCCCATGCAGCTGCGGATCTACGAGATCGAGGACAGGACCCGGGTAAGAGGCGCCTTCCTTCCCTGGCCTTTCTCCACGCCTCTTCAGTTCCTTCCCGCTCCTGCTCCCTGTCTCTACAGGGAGCTGTCAGTCCGTCCACAAGAAGCTACCCCCAATTCCCTGGAGTTTCTGTTCAAGGTCAGGCCATAGGCAGACAGAATCCTTAGTGGAAAAGTTGGGCATCCTGTTTGTACATGTCTGTAATCTCGACATTTGGGAATGGAGGCAGAGGATCAGAAGTTCAAGGCCAGCCCCAGCTACGTAGGGTGGGACCAGTCTGAGATATATTTTTTTCATTAAAAAACAAAAAACCAAAACCAACCCTTTACGGAACTACTGCTTATATATCCATACCTGACCAAGTGTCTGTGTGTGTATATCTTGAGAGAACAGCAGGAAGAACCCAGTCTTCTTCTTCTTTGCTTATGTAGAAAGATGCGTGGACCTTTCTGTTGTTCTTGTTGCTGAAATTTATAGGGCATGGGAGGCCTTCCTGGCCTGGTCCAAAATCACATGGCTCCTAAGCATTTCCTTGGGAAATTGAAGTCTGGTGGAAAGGAAGCCGGTGTCCAGGTCTCTCGTCCTGTTTCTGAGCTCTGGGGCTGCTGCTTCCCTGTGCCCATCCTCACTGACAACTCAGGACATGCTTTCTCAGCTATGAAATCTCTCCTGATGTAAGGGCCATCAGTGCCTTTTGTTCTGCCATTTTCTCTGAATTATCTTTGATGGTTAGGACTTGGCCACCCTCTTTCCAATGCCGTGGCCTGACCCCATGTCCCCAGGAATCTGAGACAGGTTCATGGATGAGGAACTGAAGCTCTGTGATAAAAAGGGCCTATTTCATTATTCTCTCTCTCTCTCTCTCTCTCTCTCTCTCTCTCTCTCTCTCTTGTTTTAATGTGGCTATTTAATGTTTTTTTTTTCCTTTGAATTGAGGTATCACTCACATGCTTTAAAATTCGCCATTTGAGATGTACAATTCTGTATTTTTAGTGTGTAGCCTTCACCACTAATCCTAGCATATTTCACGCACACCTTCTATGCACCAAGGAACCCCCGTTCCCCTTAGCAGGCTCTTTTCCTCTTTCTCCACTCCTGACAGCCCCGATATAACCTTCAGTCTCGATGAATTTGCCAGTTTGGAACCTTTGCTGAGGATGGAGTCATGTACTGTGTAACCTTCCATATCTGGACTCTTTGACTCAGCCCGATATTTTCAAGGTACATCCCTGGGTCGCCACTGCCAGCCCAGTTCATCACTGAGTAGAGCTCCATGGTATGGACAAACCACTTCTCCTCAGGTATTTGCCTCAGAGGTGGCTTTTTGGCCCTGATGTTGGTGTGCTTGGCCTCTGTAAAGAAACACCTGACACCGTTCTGGTCAGAATGTCTCTTTCTGGTCTTGTTTTCAGGTCTCCGTCTTCAGGAATTGATAACACTGGAGTCAAAGTGAGGGAGGTGTTGAGTGTGCCCAGGGCATGCTTGAATTTCCTGTTTGTGGATTTAGTGGCTTGTGATGGCCAACTCTCTGTTGTGGGCCAAGATCTTTTGCTTATCTCCCCATTCCATAGACTTCTTCCCCCCCCTTCCCCTGTCACCCATTTAGAAAGGTCCACACAGCCCAGATCAGGAGCTCGTGCTTTACGCTGTTCAGGAGAAAATCACTGGTTGGGCACAAATGGTCACTTTTCAGTCTGAGTCAAATGCACTCTAGGCTCCAGCCTAGACTGTCCTTTGGCCAGCCCTGCAAAACAGTCCAGTTTGTGAGCAACAGACCAGCAGGTGTGGCTGGAAACCCAGCGCTCTAGAGGAGAGGTCAGGGCCAGACTTTCCAGGCAGTTCCTGAAAGCCAGAATCAGACTGGGGTTTCTCAAGACTTTGGCAACTTTCTGGGTAGCTGTGCCCTCCCATGGGAATGTGATTGTGTATCTCAGTGCGTCTGCTCCCCGCTACCCCCATCCACTCTCCCCACCCCCACCATAGTCCATAATTCCCAGGAGAGGAGCCTGGTTCTCCTCTCCAACTGGTGTCACTCAAGGCAAGAGTCATGGTGATAGGCCCGCCCCCCCCAAAGTCTCCCAGAGCATCCTGCTGTTTGCACTGGTGAAGTGTCTCACTCCATCAGGATGCATATCCCCTCCCTCCTCTAAGGGCCCTGGTCCTTAGTCTCTAAGGGGGAACCCATCTGGCATCTCTGAAGCAGGTTGTTGGCTTGAGGGCTGGGGGAGGGCTGGCTGGGAGGCAGGCTGGGCTGCAGGCAACAGCAGGCATTTTAATCTGCTTTGATTTCTGGTCTTTGGAGAGGGGCTTGGCTACAAGGTCCAATTGTTTACGTCTTAGGAGCCAAAAGCAGACAAAGGGCCCTGGAGAGAGTCCTAGAAGCCAGATAAAATACCAGGACTACTTTGTCAGCCCCATACAGCTCAATTCTTGCCATCCCTCTCAGCTCTTTTAAGAGGGCTATGGGCATTTAAAAATAGTTTGTTCTAGAGTGTTCTAAAACGTGGCTTTGCTTGGAAACAAATGAAGGAGGTTGGCCAGAGAAAGCTCAGTAGATGAGCCCCTAACCCTCCGTGTGACATTCCGTAGGGGTGTGTGGGGGGGGTGACTTTAGAAAAAGTATTTCCCTTTATAGCTCTAGGTGGCCGGCAGAACGGGCTATCTAGACCTAAAACCCTAAACTTCTCCTACATTTAGGAAATATTTTCACTTTTGGCTACACACTAAATGACACTCAGCAGTGTCATGGGGCCCTCCCTGAGCAGGTACAGGCCTCTGGGGAACTGATAGAGCACCCTGTCCTTCCTGCAAATCCCCGGCTCTGAAGAGAAGTGTAATAGAGACCAGAATGTTCTGCCATGAGCTTGTCATAAATACCACAACCTGTGACAGACATACTTTTAGCTCCAGTTAGCTACCGAGGATAGGAAGAATGGTCCAGATGATCATTCATCCAAACTGCCATCTTTCTTATGCTTATTTTTTCTTTCCTTAATGTCTCTAGTGAAATCAGCTTTCCTAGAAAAGGTAATGCCCCACAACCCCTTGCGTCCCCTCCCTTTGCAGCCAGTGACTCTGTTTGGAAACCCGAAAATTATTTACCTTTCCTCTCTCCTCCCTCCATTGAATTTTTAATTTTCCCATTGATTTTTTTTTCCAGGAGAAAAACGAAGTTTAAGATACCTCCGCCCACCCTCTCAGTTTAATTTCTTAAGACCTGGGGCATTCTGGAAGCACAGGGGTCTCTCTCTTCAGCTCTCTTCTAGAGGCTGCTTAACTCTTGGGTGACTCAGGCCTCTGAGGAGTGGCTTAGGCCAGGCAGGTGCCACTTAAATGGGCCTTTGAAACTCCAGTTGAACCCCTGAGATCCACTACTGATAAATTGTCCCCTAGGCTGGGCACAGGGCCTTCTTTGTGACTGCCTTGCCCTTTGTTTTGGACAGAGGTTGGTTTAACAACTCAATTTGGTGAGGCTCCAAGTTTGTCACCAAATAATATTAAGCAATCGTGTGTTTAATGTTCCCAGGCGTGTGGCTGAAACCTTTTGAAGGCGAAGGGTAGAAGGCGACAACCAGTTTGTAAGTTTATTTTTTGCAAAATTTTTTCCTGCAGTCCTCTCTTGGAAAAAAAAAAAAAGTAAATTACCGCCCCTCCCCTCCCCCCCCAAAAAAAACCCTAAAAGACTAAACCAAGTTGAATTCTTTCATTTGTATTTGTTTTCACCCCATTAGTTTCCCTTGGGTTCAGCAACAAAGAGGGGAGATTTGCCTTCCTCTCCTGAAATACAGCCCCTTCCTCTAATTTCCCCCTAAACTAGAAGGATTCTCTGGTGTCACAGTGCCCATCAACGGCACAGTGGTGTGGATAGCCTCAAATTTTTTGAAACGCGAAGAGTTTGCCGTCTTTGATCTATCACGTCTATGGTTGGGAATTGTGAACTCAGGGCTCCGTTTTCCTCCACTCGCAATTTTAGGGATTGGCAATTTGTTTCAAAATCCTTTGACCCAGTCTCTGGAATGGGGACGGAGCTGAGCCCCTCCCCTCAAACCATTCATCCTAGGAAGTCAAGGTCTCAAGTTCAAGGAGCCCCCTCCCCCTTGTAAACCCAGGGGGCGCTGTTCAGTAACCACGAAACTGGGCTTCTCAGAACGTGGCTGGAGCCAAGGAAAACGCTAGCGTATGCTCCCTCCTCCGCGCATCTTCCCAAGGTGCTGAAAAGCATGCGGCGACCATGATCTCATTCCTAAACACCTCATCTACCACAGCAGGGAAATCAAACGGTCTGCAGGAGGAAGAGTTGGAACCTGTGGGGAAAGGGGTGGAGACCCGAGAGAGGTTAGCGGAGGTACCCGAGGACCAGAAGGTAGAGATGGGGAGGTCTTTATCAGCCGGGCGTTTAGAGAATGCAAGAAAAACACGCTTAAGATCGCAGAGGGATTGGGTCGGCTCATATTTGATTTTGTTGAAAAAAATACCAGAGGAATGTACCAGGGGCATAGAAGTGGCATCTGAGGGAAGGGAGGGCGCGCACTGACCTTCACAGATACCTTCTTGGAAAAAAGAGAACGCTGGGAAGCCAGGCGTGGGGACGTGCAAGACCCCCTGAGCAGTGCTTGGAGGAGCAGAACAGCCCACAATGGGCCATGCACTCAGCTTACTAGGTCTTCCTGCTTCCATGCCCTTTCAGGGTGTAGCTTCCAGAAGGTTCCTCCATGCTGACGCCATCTATGGGGAGATTCCCCTTGTCTTTCTTTCATTTCCAGTTCCTGTGCAGAGCCTGCACTGCTACTCATCAGAATTCCCTTGAGGTCCTCACATTTTATAGTTTGTATATGTCCTGCCCCTTCACTTGTAAGAACCAGCCAAGAGGGCCCTCTATTGTTGCTCTGCCACGAGACCCCAGAGTACCCCCCCCCACAAGATGCTGGTCACACTGTGACCCTTGTGTGAATTGTGTCCCTTGGAGCCCTTAGTAGAAACCCAGGCAGGTATTGTAGCTGGATGTGGATACCAGACGTTGTGAATACTCTGGAGGCCCTACCCTTGGAAGGCAGGTGAGACTGCACCATGGTTCGAAGTGGTCCTCCCCTCCTGGCCTTCCTCCCAAGATTCAGGAGGATGCACAATAGCTTGTCGGCTGAAGTATGAGGATTGGGAGTTGTCATGGTTTGAATGCTTGGCCCAGGGAGTGACACTATTAGGAGGTGTGGTCTTGTTGGAGTAGGTGTGTCACTGTGGGTGTGGGCTTTAAGACCCTCACCCTAGCTGCCTGGAAGTCGGTCTTCCACTAGCAGCCTTCAGATGAAGATGTAGAATTCTCAGCTCCTCCTGCACCGTGCCTGCCTGGATGCTGCCATGTCCCCACCTTGCTGCTAATGGGCTGAACCTCTGAACCTGTAAGCCAGCCCCAGTTAAGTGTTGTCTGTTATTAGACTTGTCTTGGTCATGGTGTCTGTTTGCAGCAGTAAAACCCTAACTAAGACAGGAGTGGACTTGTGTTTTCTAAGGAGGTAGGAGAGACAGCAGAGTATTCTAAAGAGAGGAGTCCGTGCCTGTTGCGGCTGGGATCGAGCAGGGCTTCCATTTGCAGCCATCCATAGTGCTGGCAGCAGGTCAGGAGAGAACTGTTTTTCTACACACAGTAAGCCCTGTTCACCTCCCAGGGTGGGTAGCTCAGGGTCCAAAACTTGTGATGGCCTTCCACAGGGCCTGCTCCGTCTCATCCATGCATGCTGCTGGTGCTTCCCTTCCTAGGCCTCTCTCTTGCCTCCCTGCCAGTGACACCTCCCATTTCCCCCTTTTGCCATTTGTGCTCTTGCTAAGACAATGAGCTCTTCTTGAGGGAACCTAACCGTCTGCCGCGTGTCTCCCCGTGGTTCCTGGGAACTGACCTGTTGCCCACCTGTTGTCTGCTTTCAGGTTCAACCCAAGTTCCGTTACCCCTTCTACTATGAGATGTGCTGGTATGTCTTGGAGAGATATGTGTACTGTGTGACCCAGCGCTCCTACCTCACTCAGGAATACCAGAGAGAATTAATGCTGATTGGTGAGTAGCCCGCGTGTAGCTCGGAGCCAGCTGCTTGGCCAGTGCAGTAATCCATTCTAGTGTAGAGCCTGCAGATAAGTCCTGGGTCTCTTGGGATTCTTTAGAGCCAGAATGCTGGACATTAGGCCTCTCAGGAAATAGCCCAGCTTGTGAGCCTCCAACCTAGAACACAGAAGCCAAGAAAAGGAGCTTGAGACCCTAAGAAGAAATACATTTGTCACCCCCTCCCTTGACGGTGAATGAAGAAGCCTGTCACCAATGTACTTGCTGAAACAGGACCATCCCACAGAACGAAGAATACAGGTTCTTTTTGTTCCTCTGTGGTTACCAGCTGCTTTTTGGGGTTTTGTCCCCATAGGAGCAAAGACACATAGCTAGTGTTCACAGTCCAGGCCAACTTTACCAGAAGGGAGGGGTGGGCGGGGCTAGCAACACAGACTTGAGGGAGAAGGGTCTGTGGTAGAGGCAGGGAAAGTGCTTCGGTTCTTGGCTGTAAGGCCCTGTCTGCCTTGCTGTTGGTACTTAGTGGGACACCACCACCAACCTATCCCTTGATTCCTACCCTGAAGTTGCAACTGGCCTGACAGGGAGCCGTGGTCAATATGTAAGAGCCAGGTATTCTTCCTTCCGTGTGGGGCAGCTAGTAGTCTGGGGGAACACTGGCTGATGTCATATGGCATATCACAAGATACGAACATGAAATGGGTCTATCTCGCGTTCACAGTGTGTGCAGTTTCTTCTGTGGCCTCCTAATTTTTATATCTCTCCCTTCTAGTAAGTCTTCCCTCCTCTTTCCCTTGGTCTTGTCTTTGGTTTTATTTAGGGGTTTGGAGGTTTGGGCTGGGCAAATTATATCTATCTATCTCCTGGACTCTTTGGTATTTATTTGTTTTGAGGTACAGCCTTGCTATTTAGTCCAGGTTGGCCTAGAACTCTCTGTGTAGCCAGACTAGCATCAAAGTCTTCATCCTCCCGCCTGCATGTCTCCAGTGCTGAAGTTTCAGGTATCATGCTGGCTGATGTTGCACTGGGAATGGAACCCAGGGCTTTGTGCAAACTCAGGGAGACACTTTTGTGCTGTTTAGTCTATCCCCAGGTGTATATAGCCATCATCTTAGAACGTTTCTTCTAAGAACATTATCTTCAAAAGAAGTGTATCCCTTAACACTCAGTTTTGCTTTCATCTTTTTTGGGGGTGTGGGGGTAGGGGTGGGGAGTGGTCTTTTGTGTGCCAGCAGGTAAGAAGGCAACTTTCAGGGGTCTTATCTTTTCCTACTATGTAGGTGCTAGGGATTGACCTCAAGTTGTCAGGCTTGGTAACAAGTGCCTTTATCCTACTAAGCCATCTTGTCAGCCCTTGGCTGATTTTTTTTTAAACATTTATTTATTTATTTATTTATTTATATATAGCTGAGGATGGATGGATGGAGAGATAGATAGATAGATAGATAGATAGATAGATAGATAGATAGATAGATAACCTCATGAGGCCAGAAGAGAGCATCAGCCCTGTGGAACTGGAGTTACAGGTGGCCATGAGCTGCCACGTGGGTGCTGTGAACCAAACCCAGGTCCTCTCCAAGAGCAGTGCTTGTGCTAACCACTGAGCCACCTGTTTGTCTGCCCTTGACTGACTTGTGTATATATGGTTAAACGCCAGGCATAGTGCGTGACAAAGCAACCTGTGTGGGTGTACTGAAGTGGAAAAAGCGGAGCTGAGCTTTGAACCTGTGTATGGCTGACTCTTGCCCTTCTACAGGCCAGGAGGCCTGGAGCAGATCCTTGCTCTTTGCAGAAGAGTGAAGTCTGCACAGCCTCCTGCGTTGGTTAAGTGATCATAATTTTATCTTACGGTCTTCCCCACAGATGCCCCAAGAAAAAACAGCGTAGACGGCTTCTCATCCGATTCCTGGCTAGAGATGGAGGAGGAGTCCTGTGAGCAACAACCCCAGGAGGAGGAGGACAAAGAGGAGGAAGGGGATGGTGCAGATAAAACACCCAAGCCACCCACTGACGGCCCCACCTCACCCACCAGCACCCTGTCGGAAGACCAGGACAGCACAGGGAAGAAGCACAAAGCCCCTGCCATGCGATTCCTCAAGAGGACTTTGTCCAATGAGTCAGAGGAAAGTGTCAAGTCCACAGCGATGCCCATAGACTACCCCAAGACGCCCACAGGCTCCCCGGCCACTGAGGTCTCTACCAAGTGGACTCACCTTACTGAATTTGAACTGAAGGGCTTGAAAGCCCTGGTTGAAAAGCTGGAGTCTCTTCCAGAGAATAAGAAGTGTGTCCCTGAGGGAATCGAAGACCCCCAGGCCCTCCTGGAAGGCGTAAAGGTGGGCAGGGGTCATGACTGGGTTGGGCTTAGGGGTAGATACTCTGGGGTTGGTCCAGGTTCTGAGCTGATACTCCGTCTGGGCTAGCCTATCTGGATTATTGGAATCTGGGACCACTAAGCAGCTAGGTGGAGGCTTGCCCTGAGGTGACAACCAGCTTCTTTGATGATCCTTTTGGAATCAAAAGCTCCCCTCCATCCCCAGAAGATTTAGTGTGTGTGTTTGGTATGGTAGACAGACTTCTATCACTCCGTGAGAAGGATTGCCGTTTTGGGTTGATTTCCTAGGGCATGAGTCTGTGTGCGTAAGCTGGTCACACTTGCAGGTGACTGACCTAATAACAGTTGACTATGGATATGGTGCAGCAACCCAAGGTTGAGGGCTCGCCATGACCTCGACTGCGTCTGCATTCTCTGATTAGGAGTCAGGCCCTGAGGGTCAGGTCGAGCTGGGATGCAGGTCCAGGAGGAATGCTACAGTGCCTATTGGGCATCCTACTGTGCAGAACTGTTTCTTGTAGCATTGCTAAGTCTTCTGTATGAGGTCATACGACTCCTCCATTTGCTGCTCCAGGGTCTGATTAGGACAGCACAGCTTACAGTCTGCTGGTGTTAGAAACGGAACTCAGGTTTCTTCCTTGGGAATTGGTAGTTTATCTAGGCAACATTGTGCTTGGCCTTGGAGGGGCTCGGGGACTCAGGGGCAAAGTTGGGGGTTGTGGGGTGATGAGGATTGAGAGTATGTGAAATATTGGGGCTCGGGTCAGATTACCTATCAGTTATTACCGGTATAGGGAACCATTGGACAAAAATCACTAGTCTTAGGAACACCTCACTTACTAGTTTGATTTTGTTGTGTGTGGAGCCAGATAGAATGCAGAGTATCACACCCACTGGGCAGGTCCTCCACCACCTTCCCCTCGTCCCATTTCTACTGGGTATTTTTGTAGTTTGAAACCTGAGGACTCTGTCTTGTGGCGACTTCTTTTTTTTTTTTTTTTTTTAAATTGTGAGATCCTGTAAAGTGAAATGTTTAATCAATTCGTTTTTAAGTGTTTGTTTTGGAACAAAATTTCCAAAGTTCTGAGTTTCCTGGAACTCAGAGATCCACCTGCTCCTGCCTCTGTGTCTAGGTTAAACCCTTCTTTGCTTTAAGAACATCTGTGAGTTATGTGTTTCCAGGGAGTGCCCCTGGCTCCTGGCCAGGTTTCTTTCTAGGTAGAAGAGCGGACTCCTTCCCTCTTCTAGTATCTCTCCATTGCCCTCTGAGGCTGGACTCACCTGTTGGTGAGAAAGCCCACTGAATCACAGGCACAGGTAGAGCAGAATCCTGTCCCACTACAGTGCAGCTCATACCATGTCCTGAGACCAGTACTACTGTGGCTACCTGGCTGAGTTTTTAAATTTAGATTCTAGCTGAATGACAACCTTATTCACTTGGTTGGTGAAAAAGAGATCACAGTCTGTAGAGAGGCCTAGAAAGCTAACACTGGGTGTCTTCAGAGATGTCTCTTATTTTAACTTTTATTTTTGAGACAGACACTCCTCTGTCCCAGGCTAGGATAGCCTCAGAGTGGTTATGTAAACCAGGATGGCCTTCCAGTCTTCCGGCTTCTATTTCCTGAGTACGGAAATGCAGGCGTGTGCCAGTGTGTTGAGTTCATGTAGTGCTGGGTAACTGAACTGAGGCTCTCTGCGTCTTGTGAAGGAACGCTGCTCGCTGACGGGATGCACCCCTCTTGAAACACACTTATTTTGAGAGCAGGACCAGGAAATCAAGATCCTTGAGTTTAGATTTGACTTACGTTCTCAGCTACTTGCCGTGTGGCACCGGGCAGGTCATCCTGCTTTCTATGTTCCATTTGCTTTGTAAAATGAAATTATTTCCCAGCACTAGGGACCAGAGTCTGAGGTTTCTTGGTCGCTCTGAAATACTTAGGTACTTCATTAAGTGATGGGGGCAGGGCTGGAGATGTGACTGCAGTTAGCCGGGCGGTGGTGGCGCACACCTTTAATCCCAGCACTTGGGAGGCAGAGGCAGGCGGATTTCTGAGTTCGAGGCCAGCCTGGTCTACAGAGTGAGTTCCAGGACAGCCTGGGCTACACAGAGAAACCCTGTCTCCAAAAATAAAAGGAAAGGAGTTGAGTTCTCCTCCCGGGGAACCAGTGCCCTCTTCAGGGCCCTGAGAGCTCCTTTATATGCACTAACCATATGCAGACACAAATGAACATTCAATTAAAAGTAAAATTTTGGTCAGATGGTGGTGGCACATACCTTTAATCCCAGAACTGGGGAGGCAGAGGCAGACGGGGCATCTGAATTTGAGTCTGACCTGGTCTAGAGAGTGAGTTCTAGGGCAGCAAGGGCTATACAGAGAGACTCTGTCTCAATAAAACAAAGCAAAACAAAACAAAACCTTGGCTAGCAAAATCGAGGCACTTGCTTTGAAGTCTGATGACCTGAATCTAATCCTCCGATTCACATGGTAGAGGGAGAGAATTGACTTGAATGATTGACCTTTATAGGTGTACCCTGGGATGCCCCCCAACAAATAAACATAATAAAATTTTTAACAAAATTAAAAAAAAAAAAAACACAACTGAGGACCCAGGTTTGATCCCATAGAAAACTACGGGATAGCCTTGATCTTCTACAAAGTAACAATCTTGTGTTACTTTCAGTTCCTCCCTCTCAGGTTCCTGCATACACGTGGTCCATATAAACTCACAAAGACACACATACATAAAAACATGAAGTTAATAAGTAAGCAAATATATGATAGCGAGAAAGAGAGAGAAAGAGAAATGGAGTCTGGCAAGATGGCTTAGTGGATAAAGGCGCCTGCCACCGAGCCTCACAAGCTGAGTTCAGTCCCTGGAGCCCACATAGTGGAAGCAGAATAAATAGATGTAATAACAACTGAAATACTGTTTTTAAAAAGAAAAAGCTACCGGGCGGTGGTGGTGCACGCCTTTAATCCCAGCGCTTGGGAGGCAGAGGCAGGCGGATTTCTGAGTTCGAGAGTTCGAGAGTTCGAGGCTAGCCTGGTCTACAGAGTGAGTTCCAGGACAGCTAGGGCTATACAGAGAAACCCTGTCTTGAAAAAAACAAACAGACAAATAAATAAATAAATAAAAGAAAAAGCTAAACAGCACAATGGCAGGGAACTGTGTCCTGGACTTATTTTTGAGGAAGGGTGAGATTGGTTTTGGTCAGCCTCTTTGGTCCCAGGATTTTACACACACACACACACACACACACACACACACACACTCACACACACAGGATCTTACACACATACACACACAATCTTACACACGTGTACATACACACACACACACCACTGCTCCCCCTTCTCCCCAGCTCTCATCTGTTCTTTAGGGAGCGGTTTACCATCTTCTTTTTTTTCCTGGGACTGATGGCACAAAACACCATGGGTGGGTTCAGTTGTTTTCTGGGACGGGGAGAGTCTGAAAGCAAGCTGTTTACAGAGCCATTCCCAAGCCTGAGGCTCTAGGAAGTGCCCACCCTTGGCTCCGCCCTCTTCTTGTTGCAGCTAACTGTCCTTGACATTGTTTGGCTTGGTATATCCCTCCCACCTGAAGCCATGGTTAAGATCGATCTCCTCCCTATTTTGCTCTCTCTGTCTCTTCATGTTGTCAATAAGTGACACCAGCCATTGGATTCAGGCCCAGATGAATCCAGCAGAAACTCAGGTCAACTTGATTAAATGTATACAAACCGTCCCCAGAGTCACATTCTGGGCCCCTCGCTGCACACAAATTTTGGGGACACACTGGTGAGCAACAATCATGGGATGAGGTAATTCTCTTTAAGAAGGGATTGCCTAGCAAGGAATCTCCTAGAAACACCTCTGCTTTCAGCTAGGACTTGGAATGGGCTGTGGCTCTGGGTGGAGGGGCTAGAGGGGCCGGTAAGTGTTTGAGGATGAGTATAGTCCTCAGATCAGTTCTACGTGACTAGAATTTAGCCCAGTATGTGGCAGGGCTGTCAAGGGCTTTGGCCTAAGTGGGCAGGGATACCAAGAGTGTAGGCGGATGACTTCATCAGATGATGCTCTGTTTCCGTGATTGGGCCAAGTGCCGTCCAACCGTCATTAACTACATTATAACACGCCCTCTTGGCCTGATTTCACGCTCCTCTGGCTATCCTCACCTTATCATGGAATAGAAAACCACCTATCCATTTCCATGGGATTATGGGGCTGCAGTAGAATTCTGGGACTATTGGGGATTATGGGGTTATACAGCTGTGGGGCTGAAAGACACGATAGTCACTTTTTTTCTTGTTTTAAAGTGTCTTTCTCTCCCTTCTCTTTCTACCTCTTTCCCTCCCTGCTCCCTCCCTCTTCCTTCCCTCCCTTTCTGTCTTTATCCCATCCCACCCTCCAACCCCCACCTCCCGCTCTTTGGATGCAGACTCTCTCTACAGCCCAGGCTAGATGTAGCTGATCTGGTCCTCATCTTGTGGCAGTATTGTCTCAGCTTCTCCAGTGTCAGGATTATCGGCGTGAACTAACGTTATCGGGCCAAGTGTTTTTTTTTTTTTTTCTTTTTTCCTCTCCACAGCCGCGTACAGATCAGTTGTATTATTCTGACATCAAGCTCCAAGCATGAGAGGAAAGAAAGACCTAAATTCAGAGTGCGTTGCCCAAATGGATGTCAGTTTCTAAATTAAGAGTTCATTGTCCAAACAGATGTCGCTTGGCTTTGAGGATGGTTGTGGAGTTGGGTCACAGTCCCCGCAGGGTCCATTAGGTAGCTGATGTTCTTGGGGACGTGGTAAAAATAGGAGGAGGTGTGATCTGTGTCATGGCTGACCCGTGTGAAGCCCTAGCAGGGCCTTGAAGTGTCCCATAAACTAGAAGTGATGCTGTTGTTATTTCAGACACCTTGGGATGAAAACGAGTTGTTTCCACTCAGGTCTGAGAGTTGGAGGACCCATGATGCAGAGGATGGGCAGAGCCAGTTTTTTTCTGTTGGGGACCCAGGGTGCTCCACCCTGGAACCCACTTGCTTTTAAAGCTGCTCATTTCTTCATTTCTGGTGTTGCCAGTTTGCAAGATGGTGGGAGGTCCACAATCTAGATTTGTGTTCTCTCTCTCTCTCTCTCTCTCTCTCTCTCTCTCTCTCTCTCTCTCTCTCTCTCTCTCTCTCTCTCTGTCTCTCTGTGTGTGTGTGTGTGTGTGTGTGTGTGTGTGTGTGTGTGTGTGTGT